TCGACCATCACCCCACCATGGTTATAGACATTAGTTGTGTTTTGATATCTAAATGCGAATTTTTCTCTACAATATGGTCAGGTATATCGGTCAACATGTGTGCCAGACAGCACACAGCACTATCAGAAAAAACTGGATGCATATCGCGACACAGGATGTATAACGCAGCTAGATAGTAAATGATTTGACTAGAATCCTTCAAAAGTGTGCTATGGTTACCCAAAGTTGTCCTTCATCCGATAGCATGATTACGAAAGATAAAAGCAGCATATACGGTGAAGAATATTGTTACTAGAGCTGATGAAGGAAAAAAAACATTTCAATTTAGAATTTTCCCCCAGGAAGATGATAAAGTGATTGATGGGGTGGTTTGAGAAAGCAGGTTGAACGCATGGACGCGCGAATTTATTCAAACTTCTGCTTGCGTGCTACTGAAATGTATTCAGTAAACGTAATTTCAGCGCTCAACTAACATTAAGTCTCTCGCCTCTTGGTATTTAACATGTCTTATAAGTAAAAAAATAAAGGTTATCAGGGTGTTTTAGCATAGCTGGTATGTTCAAAACGACGAGGTATGGACAGGCATATCGGACCGCAGACGCCGAAAATCTGCTTATTTTGCTGCTCCCAATGTCTGCACTTCAAGACCGGTGGCCCATTTTCAGTAAGACACACACGAGTGCTTACACAAACCAACTAAGAATACGGCAGCTTCTGCCTCATAGGCCAGTACTTTGAAAGAGGCTGAATTCAACCGTCTGCACGAAACTTACTTATAAGCACTTACATTTCCGCCAAATGAGCATAAGCCTATGAGGACGAGCGCAGGCATGTTTTTTTCTGCCATTTTATGAGAACTTTCTAAACGCCTATCCTTCTTCTTCTTCTTCTATTTAAGGCGGCACCCGCGGAATATGTGCCGGGCCAAGTAAGTGAAACCGTTTTTATTATTGGTCTATTAGTTGCTCTCTGTTTTTATGCTATGCTATCTACTTTTACTCTTTCAACTTTCCTCACTTAATTACGGCCCTCTTAATTTTTTCAAGGGTGATCAGGGTTTGCAGGGAGAACAGGGAGAGCCTGGCGACAAGGGCGACCCCGTAAGTTTCGTATTATATGTTGTAGAAAAGTATAATTAATATCTGTCGTACACTGCACACGCAAAACCACAGTAAAACCGTCGTCTGCATAGGATCCCACTTTCGTTAACGAGCAAAATTAGGATTGATTCATCCATCGTAGATTTCATGCGTTCACGACAGTTAATTTGACTTCCGCATACGAGGAGCTATATGTTGGATAGGAAGACTGCAAGGTGGCAGCGTTTCGCCATTAGGCAGTCGTCCGTAAAGCTTGCCCTCTCACCGGAAGAAGTCTTGCTAAAACAGTTTGAGTTTTGTTGAGGCCTAGAGTTGTATGAGATTCAAGGCTTGAGCGCAGACCAATGACAATTAGACGGTCATATGTTTGAGAAATAGCGCTGAGAGTGATTTTTTAAACGGGAAAAATATAAGGCTCTCTATAAATATGTCCAGGTTTTCACGCTGAATATAATTTGTTGCCTTAGGGTGAAGATGGACCTAAAGGTGTTGACGGAGCCCAAGGTCCCGACGGTCCACCCGGTTCTCTCTTCGTCATTCCTCTGAACCTCGGAATTGGCGGAAACACCTACTCTCGGGCGGCGCATTTCCGTCAACTGCTCCAGAACCATCTGGTGAGCCAGACTAAGACAGTTAGCTTCTCTGGAACGAATAGTTTGTCGATTACCGATGCTTCTGCTTACTTGTTTCTTAAATTATTGTTTATAAAACATAAATCTGCAAAGTCTGAACTAAACGCAGTAGAAGAAGTTTCACGAAACAGGCCTTCACAGAACGCTGTGCCCTAAAATCTCTGCAAACCCGCAGTTCTTATGGGGACCCTGCCCATGGAGCCTCACATTTGGTGCCTCCTGAGGCCTGAAACTGGGTCTTTTGATTGAGCGCTATAAAGTCCAACACCAAAACTCGGCTGTTTAATCGTTGTGTACGACAAGCTCCGCCATAGAACTCTTGTACGTGTACTTGTTATAGCTGTGATCATGCCTGATCTAGCCGGCCTCAATGATGTCACGGACGGTTCCTCTCCATGCGTGACGATTGGCGGTAGCGTATCTAGAGAACTCCAACCAGTCTATTCTCAAGCGACGGAGACTGAAGATTCAAGGTCCAAGAAGTGGTTCCACGTCTTGACGGACGGTTTCGAGCCAAGTCTTCAGTTGCCCTCCTCTTCGACACCTTCAGGTAGGCTTCGGCGTTGGATCCAGGGCAGCATAGCATAGTTAGTGGGGGGCCGACGAAGAACGTGTCCAAACCACCTCAGTCGCCTTTCTTTAACGGCCTGAGATATTCTCGCGATAAGATTGCAGCAGGTGCGGACTGTGTCATGCGAGATGAAGTCGCTATACTTGACTCGCAGGATGGTCCTCAGGGCAACGTTGTCAAAGACCTCCAGTCTTCACACATCTTCAGCGCGCACAGCCCAGCATTCACATCCATAGAGGAGGGCTGACCGGACGGATGCACGGTATACACGAATCTTCGTTGCGATGGAGATGTCACATAGGATCCATAGGCGCTCTCGAAGGATGGAGAAAACCCAGCGAGCAGCATCGATACAGTGTGCAATGTCGTCCTTCTTCTGCCCTTTCGGTAGCAGCCTCGCCCCGAGATATTTCAAAGTGTCTACTTCTTAAAGTTGATGGCCATTAATCCCCAGCAGTGCCCTCTCGATAGGCCTCACAGTATGCTGAAATCAAGCACGGGGACTTGCCTGTGGCTTGGTTTTAAGTGACAGTAGAATTGCATAGTATCTAGAGTACTCTCGCTTCCCGCAGCCCTCCGTGCCCAGTCTTAAGACAAGGCCAGGTTTAGGCAAGGGTGACATACACACAGGGAGCAGCCACAGGTGACTGTTATGGCGTGAACCTGCACCTAGGCGTGTGGCAGTTGCTATGGGAGCGCAACCGGAATAACGCATGCCGTGTGCCGATCTAACCCTCTTCTTGGTCCAGTGTATCTACCACGTGATCCGCTTTGGGGCCTATCTTTCTAACTGCCGACCCATTGACTCATTGTCCTGAGGTTGCAGAAAGGAATCTAATTTACTTCGATTTCTCTTTTCACCGAAGACAGCGAAGAGACTGTCAGTAACAAAAGGTGCTTCTGACAGACTTGTCTGATTCATCCCACCCAATTCCGAAAAGCACAGTGGACTGGAGGGAATTTGAATTCCCGACAGGAAGGATGAGTTTCAGTAACTGAACCCACGACTTCAAGCCGGGACTTCATAACTCAGAGGGTTAGGGTTATAACGACGGGTTCTGCGTGGCCAGTGTTATAGGGGTGACAAGTGACGTGTGTTACCGTCAAATTACGTCCGTTGGAATGCCCAAGGAAGAACAGAAGTGGAAGGGCATAAATTTTGAATCCACCGAGAAGAGGGTTTATTGTGTACGGAACCCGGAGTTGCTGTCTCTGGTGGCTTTTGCCGCTGGTTGATCTCCAGCCTGCTGATGTCCCCGCCTCGGG